CCGCCATGAACCCGCCTCCCTGTCCCCCCCACTCTGCTCCTGCTCTCTTTACTCTGACCTTGCAGGGCGGTGGCTGTAAGCTCTCCCCAGACTGATAGTGCCACCTGGCCTGCTATCCTGTTATTGTCAGATATATCATCATCATCATCATCATCATCATAATAATCCACTTTATATAAAGGATAAGCAAATGTAGTGACGTTGAGTAAATCCCAAGCCCAGCCAGGCCCCCAGAATCTGCTCCTTCCAGACTGACCTTTTACACTCACTGCCTTTTTCTATCATGGGGAGATGTGGACGTTGTTTTTCGTGCATCACCAATTTACAAGATAACTCGAATACCTCTCTGTGTTTTCTTATAAGAAGGGCCTGTTCTTTCCTTTGCCCTGTCGGTAAGCCTTTCCTGTCTATCTGTTTTGCTTTATCGTGGTATGTCCTCCTCATATACTGCTGTACCTGTTCAGTATGTTTACAGATTTTCTTTTTACATGTCATTCAGATGTTTATATGATGGCAGTAGACCTTGAGGGAGGATCTGCCATGTACTGAATTATCCCATGTCATGTATGGTTTTATGTAGTATTTTATTTAGTTGCTAGTTAATACACACATAAATATAAGCTGAGTGCTGGTCTTTGAATATTCTTCACAGTTAGAAAAATCCACACATCTGCTCAGCTTGCAGTACCTTTTTGATTTGACCTTTTCTACCTTACTGCACCGGGTTTTATATCCTATAAACCAAAGGAACAGCTGTTGGCTTTTTCCGAGGTCTTTATAATGATGCTGCCTTAGGCTTGTATCTTGTGATGATGCTGTGCTGTTGACACTGACTCCACTGTTGTGTGCAGAATGGGATTGCTGTGATTGTCATTAGAAACATGGGAAATTGAATGTCCTCTGCGACTTTAATGTATTTGGCAGTAGAGTGAGAGGGTCATGCTGCATGCTTAGTCCAATTCACCACATGTAGCCTGTTTTCAGCACTGAAGTTCAGCCGTCCATCACTGCATCTTGCTGCAGGCCAATAAAGTGTTGGTATGTTTCCATTACAACATATACATATATATAATGTTGCATGAATTACATGCCACAGTTGAAGCTATTTGTGAACTGTAGTGTTCTGCTAGAAAATCTCACTCTGTAGGTCCCACACAGACTGGGACAAAGCGTGTCCCAGTCTGTGTCCCTGCCAGCGACGTCTGCCAGTCAGCATGGACTGTGGGCATCCTGGACCAGCGCTCAGTATATCCACCGTGTATGGGTGCTACTCATTGCTCGCTGTCCTTTACAGAGGAAATGTAGGTTTTTGCGGTTTTGTGTTGTTGTATGTAACTTTTTGGAATGTACCTTGTCTTATTGTATTCTGCTGAATGCTGTAATACTGCAAAGAAATGACTGATACTCTCAGATAAGTGTTTAGATAATATTACTGTTCAAATACACACCCCTTGTCTAAAGTATGTGTGGTTTACACATTTTCCATTCATCTATCCATTTTCCATAATCAATTATCCAGTAAAGGACTGCAGTGAGCATACTTAGAATATCTTTAATATCACTGTACATGTATAACAAAACTGTGTGCCTCCTATCAAAGCTTTAAGAGACAAATAAAAAACGGGAAAGTAAATCTGAAGATATGTACAGTATAGATGTACAGCACAAAGCTGAATGGTAAATCAAAATGCAATCATATCTTTCAGCAGCATTAGACAGTTTTTTTTTTTAATTGGCAACAGTCATGTGGTTTAGAATTAGCAGCACCATAAACAATCAGTAGTCGGGGAGGGGCAGGTTTGCAGACGGGTGCGTACGTACTGCTCCTGGGGGTGTTGGGGGGTTATTTGAGTTTGCTGTTCCCTGCTTGGTTGAAGTGACTGATGGCTTTGGGGCAGAAGCTACTTCTCAGCCTGGGGGTAAATAGTCCTGTAGGGTGAACAGGTGGTGGTGGGGGTATGCTGGGTCTCTGGAGGTGGGGGTTGCTCTCTGTAGGATGGCGATGCTTCATGCCTGAGGTGTATGAAGACGAGGAGGGGGCCATCCTAGGCAGAAATCCAGTGCATTGCAGGGGCAGCACTCACATCAAGGGCCAGGCAGGTCACCTAACTGCACACGTCTCAGCTCTGGGGTTTGAAAAACCTCATTATATTATAAATATCTCTGGGCCCTTCTTTTTAAATAGAAAACCTTTCATATTTAAATTTAGTCTATATTTAAACAAAAAATATATGAAATTTTAGTGCTATATGATATTACAATTATGTTACATTTTGATTTCACTTTATTCAGAGCAGTAAAAATATCCAATACATTTCTTTATGTTCTCGATTATCAGTAACAGTTGAATTTAGGTAATTACTGAAACTAACCAATACCTAAATATTACACACAGGTCTTTGGTATTATTTTAAAAGTGTTTTAAGATACCTTTATGATTAAAATACTGAATATTTTTATTCATTATTTAAATTTATTTTCCATTTTTGATTGAATGTTTGGTTGTCTTAACATGAACAAATAATTATACAAAAGTTCCTCTGGCTTAAGATGATGGACATTGATTTTAATTACTACAGAAACACCCAATATTACCTTTTGAAATACCGTTACATCTGCGGTCATAATCAATAAGGTGATTGTATGTGTAAAACATTTCAGAAATCAAGTTTTACGATATTAAAATTTAAAAAACGGAATAATACGTATGCTGGACTGAGGTTAAAAATCGGCCTTGGACTTCAGGATCCAAGCGGGGTTTCCCCACGATAAAACTGGCCGGTTCCATAAATTTGGCAGCGCGGCCATCTAATAAAAGCTAGTTTAGGCTTTTTTGACTAGTTCTGACTATTTGGAAAAATTAAGAAAAATATATAAAGAAATATCATCATCCATACAAGCAACGGCGTAGAAGAGAGTTTATGTTGGGGGGACAACCAAATAATTTAAATACAAAAGTCTGTTTACTAAGGATTAATGAAACCACGTTAAATATTGGGATGTATGCGTCCCCTCCCGGTTCCTACGCTCCATCTATGGCTGTTTTAAATTTTCTTTACCCAAATAGCGAATGCATTATACCTGAATGAACGAGATAAAGACACTTCTTGCTGCTGCTCTTTTCAATGTTATCTAACCTATTTCAAATATACTGAAAATGAATTACACTGAGTATGAACTGGAGCAAAACTATCACCGCTCAGTAGCTTCTGTACATCGCGTTTTACGTATGACCTCACTCACCGGAAGTAGCTATCCTGTTTTGCATATTGACCTTATTCACCGGAAGTGTAGCGTAGTCGAGTCGGGTAGCCCCACCAGAGAAGAAAAAAAAGAAAATATTTGGAAGGAAAAAAAATCCGCTAAATCAGTGGTTTTGGCTGGATTTGGACGCAGTTTCCGAACTGTCCTGCCCCGAGGGAGTCCTGGGGAGGAAAGAAAATCGGCAGCACCGGTAATTATTTGCTGATTACCATTTAAATTAGTGATATTTGTGTGTTTATTTGAGGGATTCGTAAGTGCGGGCTGTCTCCTCTACCTCGACTGCCGGAAGTCAGCAGGAGGCTGCGCCTGGCGTCGGGGTTTCGGCTTCGACCGTTTTTTTCTCTCCTTTTTTTTTTTTATACCCGAGTTTTTTTTCCTTTTATTTTCACAGAGACCAGTAGCGGAGAGAAACACTGTGAGACGTGGATGCGCGGGAGCGTGTATTTTTTAAACCGCATTTTAATGTTTTGAATAATTCCGCCAAATAATGGAGTCTAGCTAGGCTTGGCAGGAACCAAGCTAGCGGGTTAGCCCGAATAGTACATAAATAATAAATAGTCGATAAGATTTTCCACTTTCCAATGATATTCCATTTGCGTGGAACGTAGGACCAAAATACAGTCAATATAGAGCAATACCACTGCAGTTGGTTAGCAGGAGTTTTGACGTTAATCAAAGCGTTTAGTTAGCTAGCCATATACGAATCAATAGGCATACTACGGTATGAAATTGAATTTAAAATGCGAACAATGCATCAAAGGCAATTAGCTCGTTACACTTAATTTAAAGCCGGTGGTGCATTAAAAATTGAGTGGTACTCAAAAACACAAATTACAAACACAAGTGTCATGTAATGCTATGTTAAATAAAGGTTAATAGCTAAATAAGACGATGTGCCCAGAGCGTATATGGATATATTAGGATTTGCTAGTGTTTGTTGTTGTAAATATGATTTTCATTTACAGGTATGAATTGTGCATTATTGTTATTGGGAAATAAAAATATTTTGAGGCAAACAATAATAAAACGAATTCCGTATCAACAGAAGAACTTGGGAATAATGTGTAGCTAACTCGTAATAAGTAATTTTATGAATTGACACTCATGCTTAAGTTTTGAGCCTGTAAAAACTGCATAATGCATTTAAAAAAAAAAAAAAAGCAGGAAGTGTGGAAAGTGGGTGTGTCTTTCCAGAATTCTGCGGGATTTTGTGTGTTTTACAGGTTTTACTTGGGACCATATTGTAATAAAAAAAATTGCAGTGCTAGATATTGAGCTCCAAAGCAAACAATAATAGTCAGAATGAAGGCAAACTGTTATGAACTGATAAATAACATTTTCTCCTCAAGGCTGGTCCATATCCGATATCCATATAAGCCACAATTTGAAGAGTCCACTCCAGAGATTTTTTGGGGGAAATCGCCTCAACTGTGGTTGTGTACAGTAGTACAAAGCCAGCGGCACTACAATCAAGAAATATACATTTTTAAAAGTTGTAGTTACTCAAGTTCTTACAGTCAGATTTCAAATGTTGCTGAGCTTATACTGTTAAACTGCTGGTACCTAAGAAGACAGAATAAATGGATGCATTAAAAGTTGAAAGTTTTTCTCTACAGCTGATTTGGCATCATTTTCCATGGGTACTTGTGTCTTGGCATCAGAAGGTTCCTGTAGCAGACCCCCAAGTATTTATTTGCTGACAGAAAAAGATGGATCTCAAACGTGATGTCCAGACCGTTTCAGGAAGGATGTTGATTGCATTTGTGGAATGTCTCTGTTTCTATGAGAAATAAAATTTCACTGCACAATACATGCAAGTTTAACATGACTGTGTGAATAATACATATTCTGTACAAAGGAAAAAAACAGCTAGAACTAAATGAAATATACTGGCAGTACAGTCTAAGGGATTGTTCCTCTCTATCATTTATTATGGATTTTGATGTATATTGGTGAAAAACACATGACATACCAGAGTTGTAATGTTCACTCATATCCATAACTGAAACTGCTGCATTAAACAGCCCAAAACGTTAGTGTGTCATTCTTATCAGTGGCAGTTTTGTAATGTGAAAGTATCATGTTGACATTGTAAGAAATTTTACGTTTATTGATGGCAAATATTAGATGTAGGAAAATAACCATTTTTAATGTATGAATTATGAAGCCTCGTTGAAGTATAATTCCTTGTTCTTTGTAGGGCATATTTTTCATCATGTAAATCATAAATGTAATGGACCAAAGGACCCATTGGCTGAGTGGCTACATCTCTGAAAGTGTGGTGACAATGCATTCACTACAATCCACCTTTTAGTCTGGACAGAAAATTAAGAACAGCTGAAAAGATTAGCATTCTGAAACAAACCTGTTTTTCATGGGTTGTTTCAGTGCTGTATGCCAGTGCTGATGTAACCATTTTATGTTTCTAGCAGGGCTGCATGATACTGGAAAAATTTCAAATATTCAGGATGTGATTTTTTTTATGATGAATATTGCAATATTTATAAAGCAAAAAAGGAGCTGAAAATTACCAAAAATAAACTAGCCATAATGGAATTCATCTACCAAATTGGGTGGTGTTGTTCCCAGTTGTGCTGACAAAGTGCTGACACATCACTTGCTTTTGCTAAATTTCATCTCTGTGGAATACAGAATATTTTCATTCAGCGGAAGATTGTTTTAGTGATCAGTCCTTATTCGCTTTCCTCCTCCTCACTCATTTAGTTAAATTTCTCAAATATGCCTCACAGTTTGAGTGATTCTGGCAGCAAGGATGAAAATTTATGATTGGCTCGGAGAGCACATGCAGAGCTGTAAATTTTAGACTGATTATTAAGATACACTAGATAATCTTGAAAAGGAACAATCATTAAAATTGCAAAGCTTGATCATTTTTGCTCTGTCAGAGGAAATGACTTTCTTGCAGAACTTATTGATGGTCTCAACTAGGCCTGGGCAGTATTACGGTAATAAGCTGTACCACAGTATTTTTAATTTATTAATTTTTTTTTTTTTGGGGGGGGGGTGTTGTATTTACGTATTGCGTTCAAAATAGTGGAATTCTATCGCTTTTGAAAATACCGTCAAAATGCTGTATATGAATGGATGGTATGAATAAATTAGATACCACCCAAGCCTAATCTCAACCCAACTAACTATCACGGTCCTTGCTATGTGACATTTGCATGTGCATAACATGCGGTATTAACATTGTGCAGGCCTAGGTTCCAGTTATATTTTTAAACCACAATTGTTTATGCATTTTGTTTATATGTCCTCTTCTCATGTATTGTTTCAAGCAATTGTTCAATAAAACTTGAAATTAATTGATTTAAATTTAAATTTGACAGAATGGAAAATGGCCAAATCTTGAAATAGTTTGAGTATATATATATATATATTTAAGTTTTTACTTTAGATTTAAATTTCCTTGTGATGGACATTATGTATTATATGCATTATTTATATTGATGCGTGTATGTATATGCAATTCCAATGTTATTGATGTTTGCAGATGCAAATGCATGCACTCGACAGTAATGCAGGATATACATTTCGCTTGTTGCCTTGTATTAATGCTGAAGCTTGGTCCAGTGAGTAGTGGCCACATTGCTTGTGCTCTTTTGACTGAAATGTTGGCCGGAATGCTGGTCGTTTACTGACTGTCCTTCAATGTCCTGTTTGCCAATCTGATATGTAAGCCTCTCCTGGCTTGTGTTCATGCTTACTGACACATTTGCTACACTTGAATGACTGTCACACAGTGAAACTTTGATTCTGCTTGGCCCACTCACTTGTAGGGGCCACTTGAGGAGTTATTACTATGTAGGCCCCTGTGAATAATGCTCTTTACTGAAACATGGGCTGCTCCCATGTGACATTTTATTTACAGATGCAAAAGCCTCTCCTGAATGTTGCTTCGTCTACTGACATAGGATTTCCCTGAATGAATGTTGACCATACTGACGTGTTGACCAAACCTGGCTTGTGCTTGGCTGCCTTACACACAGACCCAACCTGGCTTCTTGCTCAGCTGATTTACATGTGGACTTTACACTGGCGCTTGTTCTGCTAACTGACACACATACCCAAGCTGGCTTGTGTCCTGCTGACTTTCACATGCGCCCCACACGAATAGAGCTCAGCATACAGACAAGTAGGCCCTTGCTGGCTTGTGCGCTGCTTACTGACACATAGACCTACCTCATGGCTGGTACGTTGCCCACGGTCATCTAGGCCCCACCTGGCTGGATGAGACCTCTTCTATTTCTCAGCACCTGTGTGTTGAGAGAAGGGTTAATTATGCTGCCAGGTGAATGAGCATCTCAGTGTTAATGAAAATGTGCTTGTCAATTGTAGGAATGATGGAAGATTCCCATTTTAACTCCCCATACTTTTGGTCTCCCGTTCCTACAGTGCAAGGACAGGTGAGGATATTGTTATTATTGGAATATCAATGTAAATGATACCAAATCTTCCAGAAAAAGATTGTATACAGAAATGTTTGTCTTCATCGGGGGGGCCTTTGAGCATATTGGTGGAATCAAGCTGCGTAATTTCTAACCACCTCCAAACATGGTCTCTTCCATCTGACTTACACCACCAAAAAGAGCAGAGGAAACATGGGCCTAATCCTAGGAGCTGCCACACATCACCACCAGTGTCATTTGGTACCACATATATCGTCAGTGGTGTTATAGTTAAACAGGAATTGCCTCAAAGGAGAAGTTTTTAAACAAGGAGCTGAATCTTGTGGAGTATGGGTCTTATGGGTGACGCGCTGCTCCTTCGCCCTAGATCGAAAACGCCATGTTCCTGAACAAGATGAAGGAGCAGCTGGGCCCCGAGAAGAGCCCCTCCTCCTTCGCACACTCCTCCACCTACCCCACTGCAGTGCTGACTGTGCCAGGCTCCATCACCATGGAGGCGGGGGCGCGGGCCCCCAAGCAGGAAGGAGGTGTGGCCACCTCATTAGCAGGTTCCCTACACCCTCCACACACGTCTCAGAACATCACTGTGGTGCCTGTGCCCTCCACCAGCATCATGACAGCAGGTTGGTAACGTCCATATGTCTCTGTTCTGTGAGTTTGTTTCGAAGAGCTGATTAGTGCGTGAGGGTGTTAAAAATAGTTGTGTAATGTTTAAACATTCAGATATTGGCCAGTGGGTTATTTGCGTGTATGTGATGTAAACAACCGAATTTTAACTCTTGTTTAGCTAATTTGCCAATGCTATTTGAAAGTTGCCACAAGCAATTTCAGATGTATTTTTTACATCCTCATTGTGAACAGGTATGAAGTGTTTGGAACCGCTCTGTGCACGAACATTGATTGTATTTATTATTTTCATTTTTATTGCACTTTTTTTTCTCCATAGTTATATAGCATTCAAACTTCATGATTAAGTATATTAAAAACATTACTCGAGTGTTTCATGAGTAATACTTTAGTGTCTGGGTACAGTCAGAACTGTGTTTATGTTGTCTGAAATATAGTTGAACATATTTTATTGAGCATGTCACTTGCTAATAGTTTTTTTTCACAGTGCCTTTACAATAGCTTTTAAAAGTTATTTTTGAACAAAATACACATTGAAAGATTTTTTTCCGAGTACTACTGTTTATGCAGAAATATATGGAAGAATTTTTGCAAAGTCTGTTTGCTTCTGTTCATGGTAAAACATTAAAACCATTTTTAAAAAATGGGGGAAATTAATTAATGTACAGCTACAATCCATAAAGCATCCTTTGGTACAAATAATTGAATTAAATAATTGAGTTAAATTACTTAATAAGAAAATTCACATTCTTTACTAATTTGATCATCTAATGTTTAAATGTTTTAATCTTTTTCTTTGAATTTTTAGCACGTTTATCCTTTATAGCTCAGTCCATTCATCCTGCCATCTTTATAGCAAGCCTTATTGTCTACATTTGCAGCAAACTAAGCCAGATAACTTCTGGGTTAAATATAAGTGAATGAAGATAAAGTCCATTTAAATCTGGCAAGTTATATGGGCCAGCAAAGAAATCCAGCTTCGTGAATCGTAATACAGGCCCTGAGTGTTAATGGTTCCACTGACTGGAAAAAGTCAGTTTTCTTTCATTGGCATATTAAGTTTTCACTCTGATCATCTATTTCCAGTATTTAGATCAACACTATTACTTAAATGTCCCATATCTGAAGCGTCAGCCTGAATTTCTATGAGTTGAAATTGCTGCTGTCCAGCGACATGGTGTTTTCAACTGAAACATGAAGCTTGGCACATTTTGAATTCGTTTCAGCCATATCAATATCACTACAAATCAGTGGGACTAGGCAAAAAATTGACAAAATAACATACATTTCTCCAGGTGTTTGTCCTGTTGGCATAAGACTTTGCTGCAGCATAATAGTGGCAGCTGTCATGGATATTTACGGTCATCTTGCCGTGACTGGGGTGCATAAGACCCATAAACACGCAGTCGGAGAAGAGTGCAGGCGCAATGCAGAACCTTACTGAACAGACAGAGAACACACAGAATGCAAACTGGGAATGTCTGTTTGCCATTCTGGGCTTGTGGAGATCGTGCACAAGCAGCCGTGAAATGAATCTGGTGTAGTGAAAAGAAATGCACACGGTATCAAGATTGGGTGGTGAAAATGTCATGGTACAAATCAGGCACCGTCGTGAAATATGCCATGAAGTGCACGGCTGCCCGTGCGCAAATGTGTGGTGCCGATGGTAGGAGGGATCTGTTCAGACGGGCAATGAGATGGCATCCTTAAACATTACGCGGTAGAAAACAACATGTAAACAGTGACTTTATACAGATGCAATTCTTAATGCATAATGAATGGCATTTATTTCAAAGATTCAACTTTTCACTCAAATAGTTATGCTGATAATTTAACAAAATAGTCCAATATATTAACAAAGAATGCAAAACAGAAGAATTTTCAGTATGTCTCAGACTTGAATCTCTTCTAAAAACATTGTTTTTCTGATCGAGCGAAACTCAAGACCAACATGTATGTTTTAGTAACATGGGTGGTACAACCCTGTCAAAGATAAGGATGCAGATTTGACGGCAATGGGGTGGCACAGTGGCTGGCATGGGTACCTCACGCCACTGGAGACCAGGGTTTGGGTCTCTGCCCTGGTGTGGCACAGTGGCTGGCACGGGTACCTCACGCCACTGGAGACCAGGGTTTGGGTCTCAGCCCTGGTGTGGCACAGTGGCTGGCATGGGTACCTCACGGCTCTGGAGATCAGGGTTTGGGTCTCTGCCCTGGTGTGGCACAGAGGCTGGCATGGGTACCTCACGGCTCTGGAGATCAGGGTTTGGGTCTCTGCCCAGGTGTGTGGAGTTGATGTGTTTTCCCCTTTTCCTCCGGGTTTTCCGGTGTCCCCCCCACATGCAAAAGTAAACTGGAGTTGCCAGGTTTGTCCATAGGTGTGTGTGTGTGTCTGTGTGTGTGTGTGTGTGTGTCTGTGTCTGTGTTATTCCCTGCCTTGCGCAATTAGTTTCTGGGATAGGCTTCAGACCAGGACAGGACAAGCGGTTATGGATAATGGAGAGACTCCATCACAGCCTCGCACTGCTGTTCCTGAACTGATGGATGAGATTACATGGATCAAAGGGGTATCCTGGCAGGCAGGTCAGACCGATGACTGCGAAAAATTCAGTGTAGGACTGGCTCTCGCAGCACTACATGGGTGGGACTACTATGGACTGTCACAGGTGATTCATTTATGCCAGAGGGTTGTATGCCACTATTTCTTTTAAACAAAGCTCAAAAGGGCAGAAAGTGTAGTGTCTCAACTGTGGTATGAGCAAATTGTCTAATTAAGCATAGCTAGATGCTTACTATGTTCATTACTGAGTGTTTAAGTGTAATATGAAAAAACTGTGTGCATGTTTGGGTTTCAGTTTGTATGAACATGTACAAGCCGCTCCCCAGTTTTGGGTATGTATTTGTGTGGCCTGACGTTTCTCTTTCCTCGGTACTATTTTCCTTGTTAATTTCTTCTTCTCCTCTTGTGTTTCTCAGCTGGGCTTGTGATAACCACTCCCCAAGGCACTTTGGTCTCTCCACCCTCTTCATCTCAGTCTTTTGTTTCTGGATCCCCGGCAACCACCATGATAGTGTCTACACTGCACCCCCCAAACGCAGGTAATGCACTGGCGCAACACGCATTAATTTGTAACTGCATCTCAGGCTGTAATGGGCCACCATGATAGTGTCTACACTCCTGTAACGGGCCACCATTACAAGCGCAGGTAATGCACTGGTGCTCCATGTTGCAATCTTCACCTGCACCCCCAGGCTGTAATGGGCCATCATGACAGTATGTACACTGCATGCCCCAAACGCAGGTAATGCATCAGTGCTTTATGCGACAATATGTACCTGCATCCCAGTGAGTAATTCTTATTTCCAGCTTTCCATATTACATGTTAACAGTACTTTCCCATGTACCCATACAATCAACACTCCCAGACCTGAAGTCAGTGCATACTTCACAACACACATTACGACATACATTTAGTCATCTGCTGTATTGAGTATCCTGCACAAACAACCCTGTAGTACCGTAAATGAGTTCATCAATAGGCATCTGGATTAAATCCCATAAGAAGTTTAGTTGGGTTTAGGAGGGACACCATGTCAATTGTCTCTGTGAAGTATCTTTCAGTGACAAAAAGGCACAAAGTGTAAACTGAGGTTTTCACAAGTTAAAACAGTGCTATGGAAAATTATCTAGATTTCCTCTAGTATTTAGCAAACTGTATGGTGTTTTCTTTAGGAAAATGGTTATATTGGACAAAAGGAAGCCAAGTAAAATGTACCACATTTTGACAAATATTTCATTGTTTTACTTAATGAACAGTTATCCAACACCCATATCACCCATGTGAAAAGTAACCCGCTTATTACTTAATGGACCAGTTAACCAAATCGGATGGTAAATAGATGCAAGAGACCCTCTTGATTAGAAACCTCACTGATACTGAACCTCAGAATTAGTCACCACGATGATTGTTCAAGCACGTGATGCTTAAAAAAATGTGTGTCCAATATTTTTGTTCCTAACTATCGGCAACCATTGTGTGTGATAGATGTGCAGTAATGGAGGAAATGTGCACTGTACAGTTATGTGCTGGCACACTGGCAGTGGTGCTAAGCTGCCACCCTGCTCAGCAGGACAGTAAGATCAGCACTCATGCTAAGTTCCTGCCGCAGTGCTGAGGCAGCGTTCGGCTGATGTGTTTGAGTTTTCCCTCTTCTTTCATTTCTGCCAGACGCAGGCCGTCCCTCCTCTCTTTACCGGTACAGCCACAGTAAGTACCGTGCGTCCCCATCGCCATACACGGCCCACACCTCACGGCCGTAGCTCGTCTTGCGCGTATGCATGGGCTGGAAGCATGAGCTGTTGTACTGGAAGCCACACCCCAGTTAGTGTATGTCTGATCCCTGTTTACAGTTTTGGGTTTCTGTTCTGAACTGCTAATCAACACCACACTGTCTTTCTGTTCACAGTTAGGCCTCAGCAACATTGTTAGATAAACTTTCATGTTATTCTCTAAACCAGTTGAATTCTGCGGTCTGTCAGAATCCCTTCCACTTCAAAGGAAATTGAGATGGACTTCAGTGGTCTCAGTTAGAAACTTTCTTGGGGAGTATTCTAATGAGATACAAAACCAGCCCAAAGATGTGAGAGACATTGCTTTAAAGCACAAACAGAGAGTGTTCTCTATCGATAAGGTATTATGAATGTGAGCTTAGTAGTGGTGACGTCGCACGCATCAGCAAAACACGAGTCACTGAAGTCAGTTTTGAATCAATGTGAGAAGCTTGTGGACCTTCAGATATCTAAGATGGACTCTTCTGAGTCTCTGGGCATCTCCTGTAGGTTCACAGGTTTGCTGGGTATGGCTTAGGCTGTCTCCTGGTGTCTGAACCTCCTTTAGGCTGGTTTCTAGTCAATCTATGGGCCTTTCCAAAATAAGAGCACTTTAAATCCAGGCTTTTGTTTCCATTACTGCTTCTGTCAGCATATCAATACGTTGCCATGAAATGATGCTTGCGAGGAACGCCGCTGCCTTCTGACTGGGCAGCTGTAATCACTGCTATAGGAGTTCACCAACAACAAGTTGCATTGCAGTGTGACTCATCAGCGTCATCCGGATGTTTCCAAGGTAGCTCTGTAGTGTATTTTGGACGCCCTCCCCTCCAGGCCTTCGTCATATCGATACTCATCATCAGGTGTGCTGTCATTAGGTCGTTTGGTTCCTTTTTTCACCCATGGGTCCAGAAAATGACGGATTCACATCTAATGTTAACCTGTGGACATTCCTGGAACTACGCATCACTGTTAGAAACTCACCTACTGTTGACTGTGCAGATCATCCTTACTAGGGTTCCTCCAGTATCTCTGTCCTTTCACATGCATTTTTTTTCCTCTCTGAGGCAAACTGGTTCTGTCTGAGACAAACTTTGCAGTCCAGGTTGCAGTGTCTAGCACAGCAGTTGTCCTGAGACTCTCCCTTGAACCATGTTTTTTAAGAAAGAGACCATCCTTGGTCTTAAACTTTGGTTGCAGACCCAGTGCGGAGTGTAGGTGAGATTGACTGTATTGAGTGTCCATCACACCCACGAGTCTCTGTCACCTGTATGCTGTCTACACTCTTCATTTTATCCAGCCAGTCTCAGGCTGAGTTCTACATCCTGGGCCAAGTTGTGTGCCTATGCCAGCAGGTGCTTGCCTGTTAGAACATTCAGGATTGGCTACAGGAGCCTCAGTCTGGCTCTTTTCTTGTCTGGAAAGTCACATTACGTGTATATAGTTAAGTGGAAGAAAATACAACACAGATGTAACATTTCGTCTGTTTTCTTACTCAAGGGCTGGGGACATACAATACTCTAGATTGGGTGTTTTTTTTTTTTATAAGTTCTATTTTATTTTATTTATATCTGTTCATTTATTTTTTCTGTTTATTTTTAGTATCTTTATTTCAGATGAGTGCGTGTATACATGTGGATATCAGTACTATTATTACCTTTTTATTTATAAAATTTTTTTGGTACAGAAGACTTGTAAATGTCCTTGCCTACAAATGTATTTTCTTTCTGAAAAGGAAAATTAAAAAATAAGTCACATTACGCCCTTTCACTTTCGGAGACCAAAAGCAGTAGGAATGCTAGAGCCTTGGGATCCCGGCTTCTATCGCGGTGTGCTGGGTGTCCCGCTATGTTGAGGCAGTGGTCTTTGGATGAGTAGAGTAAATACTGTGAAGTAGGTGATTAGTAAGAAGAACTATGGAGACCCGTCATAATATCTTACATCTAAGCGAACAGTGCAGACTCCACAGAGTGGCTCGGGAGGTACACTGTCACTGAGCTCCCCTTCCCTCTTTTTTTCTCCTCTGTCTCAGACAAGAAGGATGATGTCACCATTTCTCCCGCTGTGGTAATGACGACCCCTTCAAAGCGGGGTAGGAAGAAGAAGTCCGTGATGCCGAGGGCGGGCGTGCTGAGCACACACACACTGGCCACCGGGAGTGACGCGCTGATCCTGGCGCACCTCGCCACGGGGGCCCAGGTGAGTAGGCTGCACAGTATTGCACTGCACAGGAAAACACTGCACTGCACAGCACAGTGCTGCACCTCGCCCATCCTCCCGGCTACCCGTCTTCATAATTCTCTCATTCTTGCAGCAGCATGCGGCTGATCCTTATGATCTGTCCAACGATGAAGATGATCATGCTGGTAAAGATGGAAACAAGTCCTACAGGTAAGTAGGAAGTGCGCACATTCAGCCCTGTGCTGCGTCTCTGAAAGGCCGTGTGCCACTGCTGCCCTCACGCTCGCCGCTCTGTGTCCCTGACGCTGGCTGCAGGTGCCGCATGTGTGCAGTGACCTTCTTCAGTAAGTCAGACATGCAGATCCACGCCAAGTCGCACACGGAGGCCAAACCGCACAAGTGCCCGCACTGCTCCAAGTCCTTCGCCAACTCCAGTTACCTGGCACAGCACATCCGCATCCACAGTGGGGCCAAGCCCTACACCTGCACCTACTGCCAGAAGACGTTCAGGCAGCTCAGCCACTTACAGCAGCACACGAGGTATCCACTCCCCACCTTCCTCACTGTCTGCACAGCCGTAACAGTGAGCATAGAGCTTATGGGGTGATGGGAGGGGCATGTAAATCAGAAGTAAATAAAGTGTTGTTCATGAACATCTGCTGCTATATTTACGGAGTGTCTGTGTGTCTGTGTTTGTGTGAGCTGGTGCCAATGAAAGAGGCATTCTGTGTTTTTATGGTGGAGTTTCACAAAACTATCAAAACATCCACTTGGGAAGGTTTGCTATGTAGTTTTTGAGAAAGTCCTTGAAGGCGAGAATCCAGCTTAATTCCCTGAGGAAGATTTATATTTTCATATACCTAGACATATACCACCTCTGACATAGTTTTCTACAGTGCGTTAGAAATAAATGAAAAGTGCGTTAGAAATAAAATTTATTATTATTATTATTAGTTGTAGTGCAATGAAATCCCATGCAAAATGTCTTAAATGTTGACTTGTTGCATAATATTTGTGGTGTGTTGCCGTCTCTTACCGTAGTATTACAGAACGGCGAAGCAGCACAGTATTCACTTATACAGTCCTGCCATTTGGATTCCTCTGGATTTTTGGAGTACAACCCAGTTTTCGTAACATCTAATGATTTGTTGTAAAGATTAGAACAAAAATGAAACCCACTGGAGAACAGCCAGGCAGTGAGAGCAGTAATAATGTAGTGATACTGCACTGTCTGTAAGCAGGAAACTGTATGTGGTATGTTTTTAATATGCTGAACTGTGAACACATACAGCATGTGGGGGAACGACAGGACAGTCCTCCTGGCCCACGGTGTGACATACACAAAAGGCAGATGTCATAGGATACTAAGCATGGTACTAAACATATCATTTTATATTTAGATGGAAAGACAGGTAGATGCTAAAAGGAAACAAAAGGTGTCCTTCATAGGTAATGACCTGTATTCTGTGTCAGTTTCAGAACCATACTCTAAAAGCAGAGTTTTGTTTAAAAATCAAAATATTAAAAGACATTTTATTTTGCTGAGCATAAAATGCAGTGGCTGCTCACCAGCTTTTGCACATGCAGTAAGGTTACCTGCTCATAAGGTTGCTTAGGGAAGATCCAACATACTGTACTATACTCTACTATGGTAAGGCTATTGGTCAGCTTCTGGTTTTGTCAATTTAATTATTTTTTTTTAAATATGACTACAAAAGGTAAAAACGACTCGGTCCCTCATCAGATTTAAACTGTTCTTAGGCTGTGCACGTATGTAGCTGGCATCCCTTCTGTGTCTGTGTTTCTATGTGTGCGGTGACACTGGGTGTGTCTGTGTCTGTATTTCTATGTGTGAAATGACACTGAGTGTCTGTCTGTATTTCTATGTTTGAGATGACACTGAGTGTCTGTATTTCTATGTGTGAGATGACACTGGGTGTGTGTGTCTGTGTGCGCACATGCGTGTGTGATTGCCTCATCTTCATGTCTCTGTCTTGTCTTGCATCTTCATCTTTCTCTCTGCCTCGCTGTCTCACCTGCNCACACACACACACACACACACAGGCACACATAGATACACATGTGGGCACACAGACAGACAGGTAGCTGGAGGGTCAATGTAATGAGAGCAGCTCGGCTATAGGGGGCACCTTTTTGCTCTCCTCGAACAGGGTCATTCCAGTTGCCCCAAAGCGGCCTTTCTTGTGCAGAAAGGGTGAGACACAAGCTGTCACCTGCTCTTCGTCCAGTGTTACGCCCCTTACTGCCCCAGTTGTCACGCTGGTTCTGCCTGAGGCTGAGACATTAGTGCCCCTAGCTGACTGGCAGGAGAGGCTGGAGAGAGAGATGGGGTGGTATCTGTGCTCATGTCTGTTTGCTGTCCTGTGTTTCACAGCCACAGACACACAGCGGTGCCTTCCCTACCTGTGCCCTGCAAGGCCTCCTTACCATGTGTGCTGGGTTTTACCTGGGGGGTTACTGACACCTCTCTCTGTCTCTCTCTCTGTCTCCCTCCCTTCTGGGTAGAAACCACACAGAGGGCAAACCATACAAGTGCCCGCACTGCTCCAAATCCTTCACCAACTCCAGCTACCTGGCGCAGCACATCCGCATCCACAGCGGGGCCAAGCCCTACACCTGCTCCTACTGCCAGAGAACATTCAGGCAGCTCAGTCACTTACAGCAGCATAACAGGTAACTGTCATGTGCAGGCTACACCCTCCAGCTGCTCAGAGCACACAGAGGAACACCCAGGAACCACTCTCAGACCTCCACCCAGGAACCACTCTCAGATCTCCACCCAGGAACCACTCTCAGACCTCCACCCAGGAACCACTCTCAGACCTCCACCCAGGAACCACTCTCAGACCTCCACCCAGGAACTACTGTCAGACCTCCTCCTGCCTCCTGCTGTTTTTATAGCTGTCTCATTTTCTGAAAAGCAGAGGTGGAAAGTTCGGGTTCAGAAAGCACGAATCCACACCAAGATTTTGTTTCAAGCAACCAGTTGAGTATAAAGAGTCACAATCACAGAGTACCTGACTGGTTGGGTCAAAATCTTGGTCTGCTTAAAAGCTTTTATAAATGGACTTGGCAGGATTTAATGCGTTTAGCATGTTGAGTGTTACATGACAATGGCGTGTAACTGCTATGACAGGGATATGCTTTGCAGTGCGAGAAGCTTGTTCTGGCCATAACGCTCATGTGACAGTATAGCCACATACATTTTCTATCAGACAGATGAAAGAATTAACCTTAATTATTTGTGTTTTGTTCATCATTCAAGATAAAAATATAAGCAACGAGTGAAGCTTCATTAGTCTTGAAGAGCAATCCTGCCATGCCTGTTCATAAACCAGTTAGAATATGTTCGTACTGCCTATGTCAGAGTTTGAGTGCAGTTCTCTCGAGGAGCCAGCAGCCATGTGAACAGCTTGATGGTTGTGGCTGTTCACTGGCTAGTAGGGAGCCGGGCTTGATGTTGTTTGTCTGTGCAGGATCCACACCGGAGACCGGCCTTACAAGTGTGTGCATCCTGGCTGCGAGAAGGCGTTCACTCAGCTCTCCAACCTGCAGGTAACTCAGCAGCTGGCTTGGCTAGTGATGTTACCAGGAGTTCACCACGGATGGCTTTTTCAGGAGAACTGCAGATTATGTTTGACAAGCTGTCTCAGGAAGGACCCACATTATTAAGGACACCTAGAGAGTACTGGGAAGGATCCACATTAGTGGGAACACCTAG